TTTTTTTAATTGCTGGGTGGTGGTCCACTGTATGGATGTACCATAATTTGTCCATTCACCAGCTAATGGACATTTGGGTGATTTCCAGTTTTTGGCAATTATGAACAAAGCTACTATGTCTGCATACAGGTCTTTTTGAAGATGTGTGTTATGTCTCATGGATAAAATTGGTACAGGAGCTGGTATTGCTGGGTTGCATGGTAAATATATGTTTTACCTTTATGAGAAACTGCCAAAGTGTTTTCCAAAGTGGCCACAGCATAATAATGCATTCCTATCAGCAATGATGGCAATTGTTCTGCATCCCTGTCAGCACTTGGTATTGTCAGCTTTTCTAAATTTTAGCCATTCTAAATGACTAATGTGGAGTATCTTTTCATGTGCTTATTTGCTATCCATCTCTTCTCTGGTTAATGTCTGCTCAAATCTTTTGCCCATTTTTTAAAAATTGGGTTGCCTTTTTATTTTTTATTTATAAGAGTTCTTTATATCTTCTGGATAATATTCCTTTATCAGATGTGTGTTTTGACAGTTTCTTTTTTGAGAAATTAAAAATTATAAGGATCTAAATCATACCATTTTTCTGCCAAACCACTATCCCCTGCATATACACACTGATGAAGGAAACAGGATAGACTCAAACCTTCAGTTTACAAATACCTTAGTGCCACTGGACGGAGAGTCAAGCAGTAGTTGATACCTGCTAAAACTCATGAGGCTATTTTTATCTCCACTGTAAGCACCCAACCAACACTAGACTTTAAGGAAAGCTACATCTGGAGAAATGGCTGTCTTATAAACAGCTTTTGGCCCCCCAGGCTCTGCACCTCCCAAAAGCCCTGTTCTGGTCCACCAGGCTCCTGGAATGGTCAACAGTCGTCACACTCCATTGCTGGCCATTGTCCACTGGGAAAGGTAGGAGGCTCCCAATCCATCCTTCAGTGAAAGAGCAAACAGTGGGGCCTGTGGCTGCTTGGACATCAAAGTTGAGCAAACAGGCCTGGCAGGCCCTGCCTCTCCGCCTACACATCCTGCAAATGCCATGTGAAGGAGCTTCCCTGAGGGGGTCATGACTTTCAGCTTGTCATAGCACACATCAAAGTTTGCACCACACACGAACTGGGTACATGGGTTCGAATCAAGTCGCCTAAGAGCGGATACTCAGCCATTGTGTCCAGTTTTAATCCTGTGTTTTCCCAAGTAATTAAGCCTTCTTGCTTATGAACTTGTGACTAAGTAAAGCATCACTGAGAGGTTGTAACATCAAAGTGCCTTCCACCGTCTGTCCATGTTTGGTAAAATTGGATTTCTTTCTCTTCTTAAAGAAAAACTAATTGAATTTAGCTGCAGGCTGGGTATATTTGCACGAGCTGGTGAAGGCTCTGCTAAGTCACAGTGATCATCCTGGGACCCTGTGGCTTAGCCTTTAGCTGGGCTGGGTCAAAGTGCAACACAGAATGAGGCACCCAGACTCAAGCTAAACAAGTGCCTATAGCATGAGGCTTACGGAGGCCTCACTATGGAAAAGGGGTCAGCCCCCAGCAACTGCTCCTCAAGTCACTACTTCACCCAAGCTGTTACTAGGGCTGGCAAAAGGATCATCCTAGTAGAATGTTGGTAAATCTTTGGCAGAACGGCTACTGAAGACAATGGCCATCACATTACTCGAGTCCTTGATGTCTGCAGTCCAAGGAAGCTTCTTAAGGCAAAGGCCGTGATGCTTATTATCTGAATCCGTCACAGCCTAGCACATCAGCACCAGATGCAGTATAGTTTTAAAAAATGTTTGCTGGATACATAAAATGATAATAGAAAGGGGTGTCAGAACAAAGTTCTTCTTTCCTGAAGAACCAAACTCTCTGTATCCCTTCTTTTGCCTTGCTCATCAGGAAACTTCAATCTAAAGTAATACTGAATTCCACTAATTACCTGACTTACAGTGAGTATAGCATGGTCTGATTTATGTGAAATCACACACATACACTGCTCAATTTCTAGATAGAAGGAATTCAGTTGACTCCTACTTTCTTCTCTATATTATTTTTACAAAAACAATAAACCTATTTTCAGAAAAGAAAATCTCTGGTTCAATCCTGATACAATTATCTTTCCTTTTACCAATATGATTTCTGATCCTGGTCCAGTTTTAACTCTCCTGTGTACATTTATATTTGTATTTTAATTTGAGTCACTGCAAACCCTTTTTGGAAATAAAAGGAGAGAATAAATTATAAATTAAGTTCCCATACATACTTTTAAAATTTTGTTCTACAGGACTGTATTTTTTATTAAAAATTAAATAAAATAGTACTATCTTTACTATTCAAAATTAAGTTAAAAATATATATATACAAATAACAGTTCACAAGATGTTAGTCTCCTTAAGGATAGAGATTATTGTGCTATATCCCTAAGGACATAGGCATGAAGCAGGCACTCACTAAAGGCAGTTGAGGGTGAAATGACTGGATCATCTCAGGACCTCTCCTTTGAGCTTGTGGGCTGACAACATCTAATGCAGGTGAAGGTTCTCTGCTTCAGTCTTGAAGCAAGGGGTGCTGCCCCTCTATCCTCCCTTCATCCAAGTCCAATTGAAATGGTGGCATTTCAGGCCTGGCCAATATGATTCCAGAAGGGCTTGGTAACTGATGAAATAAGGATCAGTACACTTCTAATAAGGAGAAACTTATTGGCAGACTGTGCTGGTATGGACATGATCATCTTTTAAGACCACTCCCATAGCACCTTACCAATGAGGCCTACTCACCCTAATCAAGGTACTTCTGGCATTCCTTTTTATCAGGTTCTATTTTCCTTTTTCCATAGCACTTCTTACTTTCTAATATAGTATATATTTTATTTATGTATTATATTTATCATTTACTACCCAGGGACCACCGCTAGTATAGAAATAAGCTCTATGAGGGCAGGGATCTTTGTCTGTGAAGAACAGTGCCTGGCAAACAGTAGGTGCCAAAAAAAAATCATGATATGAATAAATTAACCTAAAAGGTACGCTACTTTCAATAAAAATCCGTCCCTAGACACTGGAAGGAAGAGGAGGACACAAAATGGATGTTTAAAACACCAATAATTAGTTCTAAGAACCAAAACAAGTAAATACAAGCCAACACTCTCACTTTGCTCAACAAGCATCACTGATTTGCTAATGGCACTGGATAAAGACAGGGCAATCAGTTAAGGCAACAAGTCATTAGAATTAGAGAAAAGTGTCCCCAAAGCACATCTACCAGCTAGCTGCACACTGATTGACAATACTCTTAAGTATAGTGTTACTTCCTCATCTGTCGCAATGCTAGAAATACTACATCTAGAAGGGCCACACACCCCCTTCCCTTTTCTCCACCACCTGCTTGCTATCTCTTGTGGATGGAGAGAGCCGCCAGCTGGGAAAGAAGACTGGTGGGTGGGGTGGAGGTGGTGGTGGGTGGAGTATCAGTGGTAGAATAAACACACGTTTGTGTATAGACATGGCTAATGTGGGTAATAGAGAATAACAACTCGTCATTTGTAACAGGTAGCACATACACTATTGCACTGGGCTCTTGCAAAAATACAGCGGGAATCTACTCTGCTGCCAGATTCAGTCCCCTCATACCCTCTGCTCTGATAATATCCTGTCCACATGGCTCTGACATCAGTGGTTACATTAGACTCTCTCTCTTAACTGCCTTTCTTTTCCACATTGGACCTTGAGCTCCTAAGGTCTCTGATTCTCCAATGATTAGCACAAAGTCTGGCTCAGAGTAGATATTTACCAAATGCTTGTGAAAATAACTGATTTCAGGTGAAGAAACAGGGTACCCCCAGAATTCTGAAATTCAACTAAGGGTCAGAACCAGAACTGGATTCCAGGCCTCTCAACTGCAAAGCCTATTTACACCAAGTTTTCTTTTTAAGTGCTTGGAGCTTAAGAGGCAAATAAGGAAATGGAGTGCTGAGAACAGGCTCAGGACAGAGGAACAGAGAAGAGAGACCTACCTCAAGCACAGCTAAGTCTCTCAGCCCGTCTGAGGCAGTGCCACCTCTACATTAGAAAATCCCTGTTTTCTTTTCCAAAGGCCAGTAGTGGCAGACAAAAGCCTTAATGATCAGCTTGAAGAAAAAATTAAAACTGGTACTTCAAACTACCAATTTCCATGGCTGCTACTAAAGTGCCCAGTCTGCTTTCTTTGAAAGCATTTCTTTTTGCTCTTTTTTAATCAATTATTTTGCATAACTACAGCTAGAGACTGGGATGGAGAAGTAGCATCTGGGATCTGGCAGACGGAGGCAGCAGTGAGGTAAAGTAAAACACAGATTTTGCAGGCAGCCAGACCATATTCTAACTCCTGTCTGTGTGACCTCAGACAAATCATCTTTTCTCTCTGGGCTTCAGTTCTCTCAGCTGCAAAATGAGAATTTTGGCAAATTGTGGCAATTGTGAGAATTGGAAATAACTCTCTACACATAGGGGACTATTTCAACCTTTACAAAATAGTTTCCCCCTGAGGGAATGGGGAAGTGGGCAGGAAAAGAGCAGGGCCTCCAATGGTACGGAGGGAGTGCCACCGCCCCCCCACCTCCAGCCCCGGTTTCCATCAGAATCTTCAAAGAAATAGCCCAGTGGAGCCCTCGCTGAGGACGGTGACTAGCTTCCTCCACATGGACAGACAGTGGAAAACGAAAACATGAAGGGAACTCACATGTGTACCTTCAACCACTTAACACAGGCTTGCAAACATTTCATGGCTTCAATAATGCAAATGACTCGCTTAAGGTCACAAAGCAAATGAAAGATGGAGCCAGGATCCAAGGCTATCTCTTCCCTTTCCCCATCTTCTATACTTTCATTATACCAGGTGTAGACCTGACCTTCAGCTCAGTCCATCACCCTGCCTCTGGGGAAGACAACAAGGAGACAAGCAGGGTGGGAGAGGGTTCTGGATTGTGGTCTGCAAGGCTCAGGCTAAGGGAGCCCTGTGTGGAAGATCTCTCACCTGTCATTTCGGCTGATGGCTGCCACCATGAGTGCTGTCCAGCCAAGTCTGTGCCTTGCATTAACATCTGCACCTTCCGACAAGAGCCTAGAAAGAAACAGAGGAATATTTTCAGTATATGGCTTATCGTGGAGGTAGGAGTGGAAGAAATTAGACAGTCAACAAACAGGGAGGCTAGGTGAATCTGGAAATAGTCACAGGCCTTTGAGAACTAAGTACCCATCCCAGCTCCTCTGGCCACTCTCCCCTCACCCCAGGCCTGTCCTATCTCTCTCATTCTTCCCTTGCATAAGTCTGACCCCTGCTGTTACCTTCTGAGGAAAGAATGTGTCTTCCCTACTTTAGTACCCTGACACTCCCATTCCCTTAGTCCAGAATGCTCTTTCCCTGATTCTTTGCCTACTCTAATCCTACTAGCATGCTATGGGGTACAATCCTGGCTTGAGAACTCCCTTCTGAGAAGGCTTCCTTGGCTCATCCAGTCCACAGATCTCTTCTCTGTCCTTAGAATTCCCCTATGATTCATGGAGGAGCACTGAATGCCCAATGACACTGCCTATCTAGGTAGTTCCCAGTTTACCAAAGGATCACATCCTCAAGTTTCTCTGTATGGTGGCTGTTTGGAAACTGAAAATCTTGAACCCAAGGAAAGATGGGAAGAATGTTAGAAATGCTAGATTAGTTTTCTAGGAAAGTCCACATGAGCCTATTTGACTCTCTATGCCAGTGCCTAGCACACAGTAGGAGTTCAATAGTTGCTGGATAAACTAACAAACATAGGGCTTTAAATATATCACTAAAATCCTGAATTCTGGGTCCTGGGAACAAGGGGTTGGACAGAGAGAAGGGGAGTAAAAAGAACCAACTCTTACTGAGCACCTACTGTAAGCAGGAACTGCCTTCACAACTTGACACATATGCTCTCATTTACTCTTCACACAAGTTTAAGGAACTGATGTTAACCTCTTTTCATGGATGAGGTGACAGGCTCAGTGAGGTAAAATGACTCACTGAAGGTCACAAAGCCAGCTAAGGGCCATCAGTGACTGAAGTTCAGGTTGATAATGGCTCTATGGCCAGAGATCCTGTCACCTCACAGCCCTTCCTCCAGACTGAACCTAGCTCCATGGAACGTGGAAGACAAGAGACTCAACTGACTTTAGCAAATCACTGCATGTGCTTGGTCCTGTGCTAGATTCTGGGGTGGGGAGTGAGAAGACACGGGGTCTGCCCTAGGGAGCAAATGATTTAGTTGTGGGGAGGGGGGGAACTAAGGACAGTAGGAAATCAAAGCCTGGAGTGTGTGGTTTCCCACCAGAAGTGCTGCAGGAGGCCAGGAGAGCGCGAGACCAAAAGTCAAGAGCGATCCGCCAACAAGGCAGGATCTGACTATGGGGAATGGGTAGAGGGTGTTTGGGGGAACTGGGAGGCCACTAACTCTTTAGTGGGTTCCAAATGAAAGGCACCAGCAGAGAGTCTGGAGGTGGGGTTGAGTCCTAGCACCATTCTTGTGCCACAATGTGCAGTAACTCCTTGTCTGGATCAAGCCAAATAAAAGCTCTGTGCGGCTGAAGTAAGCAGGGGCGGAAGGCTTGGGAGGAGGAGCCACAGCATGTACGCACTCATCTGGCCTGAGCTGACGCAGGGAGGAGACAGGCACTGTCGGAGCCCAGGGCCAGCAAGCACATAAGCATGCATCGGAGGAGCTCTGTGAATGGGGGAGCGCAGGCTGCAGATGCATACCCAGGGAACCTAACCCAGACTCAGCGACCGAAAAGGCCTCCCTGAGGAGGTGATGCTAGAGAGTCGCCAGATAAATGGGGTTGAGGGAGGGGAAGGAGTATGTCAGGCAGAGGTAAAGCCTCTCATCCAGAGGAGAAGGCAGCATGACTGGGCCCAAAATGTGAGGGAGGATTGTCAAGAGAGGAGGTTGGGAAACCCTCACCTCTCACCTCTAATTTGGAGGATTTCTTCTGGTGAAACTCCTGGGCCTCTTTACCACACAGAGTTAAACTTCTTTTTGGAGAAATAATTTTCCATGGCCAAGAATATTAAAGAGACTAAGAGCCCTATGAGACAAAAATCTCTTTTTGCACAAAACCTCCTTCCTAATTTACAAAACCTGCCCTGGTTTAGCAGGTGCTGTGCAAAGTGCATGGGTCTGAAAGTTCAGAGCCTGGTTCTGATCCTGTGATTCTGATCAGATGGCCTCATTTCTCTGGTCCTCAGTCCAGAAGGCTACAAAATCAGGACCAGCTGAAGCAAAACAAAGAGATTTCTTTTTTTTTTAATTTTATTATGTTATGTTAGTCACCATACATCATTGGTTTTTGATGTGGTGATCCACGATCCATTGTTTTCGTATAACACCCAGTGCTCCATGCAGTACGTGCCCTCCTTAATACCCATCACCGGGATAACCAATCCCCCCTCCCCTCTAAAACCCTGTTTGTTTCTCAGAGTCCATAGTCTCTCATGGTTCATCTCTCCCTCCGATTCCCCCCCCTTTTTCCCTTCCTTCTCCTAATGTCTTCCATGCTATTCCTTATGTTCCACAAATAAGTGAAACCATATGATAATTGACTTTCTCTGCTTGACTTATTTCACTTAGCATAATCTCCTCCAGTCCCATCCATGTTGATGTAAAAGTTGGGTATTCATCCTTTCTGATGGCTGAGTAATATTCCATTGTATATATGGACCACATCTTCTTTATCCATTCATCAGTTGAAGGGCATCTCAGCTCTTTCCACGGTTTGGCTGTCGCGGACATTGCTGCTATGAACATTGGGGTGCATATGGCCCTTCTTTTCACTACATCTGTGTCTTTGGGGTAAATACCCAGTAGTGCAATTGCTGGGTCATAGGGTAGCTCTATTTTTAAATTTTTGAGGAAACTCCACACTGTTTTCCAAAGTGGCTGTACCAACTTGCATTCCCACCAACAGTGTAAGAGGGTTCCTCTTTCTCCACAACCTCTCCAACATTTGTTGTTTCTTACCCTGTCCATTTTTGCCATTCTAACTGGTGTAAGGTGGTATCTCAATGTGGTTTTGATTTGGATTTCCCTGATGGCTAATGATGATGAACATTTTTTCATGTGTCTGTTAGCCATTTGTGTGTCTTCTTCAGAGAAGTGTCTTTTCATATCTTCTGCCCACTTTTTGACTTGATTATTTGTTTTTTGGGTGTTGAGTTTGAGAGGTTCTTTATAGATCTTGGATACCAGCCCTTTATCTGTAGTGTCATTTGCAAATATCTTCTCCCATTCTGTGGGTGGCCTCTAAAACAAAGAGGTTTCTGAAGGAAAAGACATGAAGTGTGCCTTGAAGAACAGGAACAATTTAGAGGCAAGGGAGGAAGTGCACGCCAGTCAAGAGGAAAGGAACAAGACAGAAGCAGGGAAGCAATGGGAAGGTAGATTCAGAGATATAAAAGGATTCAGGTAGATCCATCCAGGTGACAGTTCACAGCAAAGAAACAGGCAGCTGCCAAGGTATGCAGGGTCTACAAAAGGACCTCTAAAGCCAAGCTACCAAGGCAGTGGGCATAAACCTTTTTGAGCCATAGGCTTCAAGCTGATGACTCCAGAAAAGTGCATAGGAACACACATACTCAAAAAATAATTTTTTCTTTCCTTACATACAATGTCCATGAGTTCACAGCTCTTCATGAAATAACAGATCTTAGGTTAAAAACCCAATCTAAAGGGTTGACAAATGTCTGGTATGCAGGCTACTGTCCTGTACTCTTGCATCTAAGTCAGAAATCACGAATCTCTCCTGGCAGCTCTCTCCTGTGGAGCCTTTGAAAAAGTCTCAGAATCCTCAACACTCGTTCCAATCGGCCAACATTAATCAACTAAAGCTGGCAACAGAGAAGAAACCTCTTTGGCATTCCTTAGACTCTCACCACAGGCAGAGGGGTTGTCACCGAAGGTTTCTGGGCAAAAGAAATTACAAAATTAACCTGAGAGCTTAAGCAAGTTGAGTCTGAAAGGGGAGAGAGTAGAAAGTGGGAACAAGAAGACCTTTTGGGGGCTGCTATAATATGAGACCAAAGGAGATGACCCACTGTCTCCAGTGGGTCAGTGACCCATGTTTCCCTGCCTGGGTCCTGAGAATTCTGGAAGCAGCTCTGGTCTGGAGGCAGGGCCGAAGAAAGAGGATGGAGATGCCTCCTCCTCATGTCCCTTGAGGGCTGAGTGTAGCATAATGAAAAGGATGAACAAAGGACTTTAGAATAAATTAGACCTGGATTCAAATTCTAGTCCAGCTAGATGATCCTGGGCACATCAATTCTCTGAGTCTCAGTTTTCTCACCTATCAAATAAGGACACTAACCTCTACTTTGCTGGGATCCCAGCCCAATACCTGGCTTATAACAGGTGTTCAATACAGGGTGACTTCGGCCTGCCACCTTACCCTACTTCCAGCCCTTTGATGGACCAATGTGTTCTAGTCTGAAGCTGGCAGTAGCAGGTTGGCCAATACCCAGGGATTCTAAGACAGGGTCACACAGGATGACCTGGATAATTCATCCAGCCTGGCTCCAGGCACTCCTCTATTCATCTATTCAACAAACATGTGTACACACCTACTTTGCGCCCAGCTGCATGCTGGCTCCTGAGGATACAAGACAGAGGTTCTTGCTTTCCAGAACTGAGCCAAGCAGGGTTTTCTCTTTTCTCTTTATATACATATATACATATGTATTTCTGTTTATTACTTCTTTTACAAATAACTGCATTTTAAGATAAACTCATACTGCTAAGTATACAATAATTCCATTTTTAGGAATTGCTATATAATTCTCTACGGCACATCCACCAGATTTTTCCCTCTCTGCTCTCCCAGAGATACCCACTCAGGCAGCCTCCATGTCCCAGGCACCAAAAGCGATGCTCAAAGAACAACGTCTTGCATGTGCCCCTTTGGATGGGTGTGAGTATTTCTCTGGGGCATGTACTAGCAGTGGGATCCCTGGGTTTTGGGTTTGCGTTACTTGGTTTGATGCCACTGTGCCAGGGTCCTCTCCAGGAAAGCTGCTTCATCTACCCTCCCACCAGCAGGAGGGGTGCTCCTGGC